CTCTCCAACGGGGAAAGGTCAAGAACCCCTCACAATCACCACGAACAGAGCCGGAGACAATCACCAACCTCCGCTCGATGATCCTTGCTGCACCAAGTCGTCTAGGTGGCGGCAACCACCAAGAATAATAAGCGAATCCCACAGCAAAATATGAACACCAAGTGCCTCTAGATACAATCACTCAAGCAATGCACTTGGATTCACTCCCAATGTCACAAAGATAACGAATCAATGATGGAGATGAGTGGGAGGGCTTTGGCTAAGCTCACAAGGTTGCCATGTCAATGCAAATGGCCAAGAGAGTGAGCTTAACCTTGTCATGGAGCTTAAATAGAAGCCCCCACGAAATAGAGTTGTTGGCCCCCTGCACCTCACTGTCCTTGGGGTGACCGGACGCGCGGCACCCCAGCGTCCGATCATGGATCTGTGTCCACGTGTCCTTGCTTCAAACGCTGATCGCCCGATCCCAATGGTCAAGAGCTCCTGCGTGATCACTTAAGTGGCGACCGGATGCCACGAAGGATGATCGAACGCACCGCCATAGCGTTAGGTCAATACACGCCCACGTGCCTCTAACAAATGACTAGATGCACCGGTCAACGCCAACGCCCACACGTCAGGGCACTTCCAGAGACGTTCTAGAGCGCCTAAAACGCGACCGAACACATCCGCTTCTGCTTGACCGGACGCACCACCAGCGTTAGGTCCTCACTGCGCTTGCTCAAACGCCTACATCACCAAGCATCACTCGTGACCGGACTCACCACCAACGCGTCAGGTCACATCGTGCACCTGCATTCGGTCACAAGACCAAACAAACCCGAGCGCGCCACCTTGTTTTATAATTGACCGAACTCACCACCCAGCGTCCGGTCAACACGAGTTCAGCGTCTGGTCACTATTTTTCAGTGATAACCATCTTCTCCACTTCACCAACTTCTCCACCCTTGCTCAAATATGCCAACCACCAAGAGTATCACCTTGTGCACGTGTGTTAGCATATTTTCACAAACATTTTCAAGGGTGTTAGCACTCCACTAGATCTAAATGCATATGCAATGAGTTAGAGCATCTAGTGGCATTTTGATAACCGCATTTCACGATGAGTTTCACCTCTCTTAATAGTATGGCTATCTATCCTAAATGTGATCACACTCGCTAAGTATCTCGATCACCAAACCAAAAAGCTCCTATCAAGTTTCACCTTTGCCTTGAGCTTTTGTTTTTCTTTTTCTTCTTTTCCAAGCCGAGCACTTGATCACCATGGTCACCACACCATCATCATGATCTTCACCATTACTCCACCACTTGGAATAGTACTATCTATCTCATGATCACTTTAATAAACTAGGTTAGCACTAAGAGTTTCATCAATTCACCAAAACCAAACTAGAGCTTTCAGCGCGACGAGTGGAGGTCCGCCGGCAATGGGGAAGTAGAGGAAATGTCATGGAGGTGGTGCATCGACGATGGGAAAGCAATGGAGAGATCTAGTGATGGATCCATGCTCGACCAGGAGGGACCAATGACCCCAACAGAAATTTGGAGGCCTCCTCTAAGGCCCCTAGGAATGAGGGCTCGAGGAAGGATTTAAGAGCCTTCTCAAATTTTACGGCTCTAGTAGAAACCCTGTTGGACCTTTTTTTTTGCCTCAAGCTCTTAAATTTGGTTTAAGGTTTTAAGTAGGGGCTCTGTTGGAGTTGTTCTTATGTTTTAGGTTTAGCGTTCTAGTAAAATACTTCTAAATCTGGTATCAAAAAAACTTTTAAATCTAAAAAATATGGGGAAATACAATGATATTCTCAACATAAAGAAATGCATTATAAAAGTACATCCCATGGATTTATAGTGAAACAAATTGGTGTTTGTATGTCGTCCGTAACATGGTCTGTTCACCACACTATACTTTTCGCTTCTTATTTACCTCACCAAATTGTTTAATTTGGACAATGCACAACTCGAATGGAATACAAAGCAATAATTGACATCGTTCCTCATGTTTGTAAAAGGAATAATTGAATGTACATGCAACCCCTAATTTTATCATGCTACTAAGGGTGTCCGTAACAAAACAATTTGAGCTAACGATTTGATTACTGACTATGCTAAAAAACTGACGTAAAGGACGTTAGCAATTTGTTCATCACTAGCGAGAAAGATTTCAACCCAATGATATGGTGGACCTACGTTGCTTTTTGCTCTCGCGATCAATCACAAGAGAACATAGATACAAGTTTTTTTTGAAATCTGGAGGTCCAAGGACCCTACAGCATAAATGAAAGCGTTTGATATTAAAATTATAGGCCATTTCAAAATCTCTCCACGTCATTATCGAAATCGACAACATCTACTATGGATGCCCTAAGTCATTTGGACTTGTGCTAGTTTTGTGGAGGATTGCTCGAGTTTTTCCCTGTTTGATATTAAAATTATAGGCCATTTCAGAATCGCTCCATGTCATTATTGAAATCGACATCTACTGTGGATGCCCTAAGTCATTTGGACTTGTGCTAGTTTTGTGGACGATTGCTCGAGTTTTCCCTACCAAAGAGATGGATCGTAACCTCTAGCGAACCAAAGAGATGGATTGTCCATAAGTTCAACTACCCTATTCGCTTGAATTTATCAGCCCTGCTTATCAGGCATGCTATAATGTTTTTCTCTCATAATCAAAACAGCATCAGTCGGCTTATCAACCGCAGAAACCATCAGCTGGTTTATATATTACTTATATAAACGGTGAACTATCATAATACATTGGGTGATGTGGACAAATAAATATATATTAGTGAATGATATTATTTAATGATGTGAATATCTTGAATGAAGATATAATTATATGTGCTAAGTACTAATTAAAATATAAGATATCACTACTAGAAATATCAACTTCTATAACGAATAGTTTTCGTCATTGAAAGAGCCAAATTCATCATAATTTCAGTTTTATGACGAATTTATGACGAAAAATAGTTTCATCATAGAAGTCGCGTCATTCTTGTAATTCTATGACGATTCTAGAAATTTGTCATAGAATTGGATAGATCGATGACGAAAATTGATCGTCATAGAACTGTTTTGGCATGTGTGACAGGGGGCAGCCACGCTAGCGGGTGCTTTCGTTAGAGATGCTTTCCCACGTGTACATGTTATAACCGGTTGCATTGGAGATGGTTCGGGTACATATCACCTTCTTATTACACAACATGGCCATCTCTGGTTCTTGCACATTCTAGGTTCTTACTAGACCACGTGTTGGGACCCCTGTTGTTCCACATGTCAGTTTTCTATTGGCACACGTGCGTGTTGCGGTTGGGTCACGTGTCATTTCTTCATTGGATCAACTGTCGTATTTTAATTGGTCCACGTGGCATGACTACAATATCCCGCGTGTCTTTCTTTTACTCGACCACGTGTCTCGATTCTGTACGTTCGCATGTCAGTATTTTATTGGGCCACGTGTCGCGACCCTGAGCTATCCACGTGTCTTTTTCTGATTCGACCACGCGGCAGGACGGATTTGTACCACGTATTTTGTTTGTATTGGCCCAAGCGCTGTTCGTTATAGATCGAATATTGTTCATCACGGATGTGTAATTAGTTTAATGATAAAGCCATGTTCGTCACAGATGGGTCGCACGAGTGATCTGTGACGAAACACTGTACTCTTCTATGATGTTTTTTGTGACGATGCCTAATTTCATCATAGATAGGGAGGGTTGATGATCATCACCACTGATCTATGATAAAACTAAAATATTCGTCATAAAAAGCAATTTTTATGACGGTTTTGGATTCGTCATTAAGATTTTTGTCATAGAAATGGATATTTCTAATAGTGTATATAGATATAGATTATGCATGTGATAGACGAACTTCAAATACTCTTTTTAAGGAAGATATGTATTTAAAAATATTAAAAACTGATGTGATCTAAAAAATCATAGAAAAATGTTTTAATCTACCAAGAATATTAAAAACATTTCAAATTTTGAAATTCAAAGAGTAAATCAGATTTTAGTAATTCTAAATGCATCTTTTTTGAGAAAATATTAGATAATTATGTTAAAGATTATTCTATAATTTTTTGTTAAAGTCTAGTTGACTTTTGAATTATCACGATTCTTTCTCTCTCGTGAGGTGTCAAAACCATTTGGGGAGATGAATCGGACAGCAAAAGTTAGAGAAGTCTAAATATCCGGTTTACCAATTAAGTGAAGTAGTTGATGATGAGATGAGATAGACTTTTATACTTGAGAAAACACGATGCACCTCAAAAAAAGTGCTATCACTGTCTTAAAATATATCAATTCATAAAATCACTTTAAATCAAACTATCTTAAATTTAACTGATTTTATATAAAAGAGTTATAACATTAATAACATCAAATAAATATATTATGAAAATATATTTTATGTTATATCTATTAATACTAATTTAGTGTCATAAATTTTGATGTTTTTTATAAAGATGCCAAATTTAAAATAGTTTGATTTAGGATAACTCTATAAGCTAATTTAACTTGAGATGGAGGGAGCAGACTCGACCCGACCCTGAAAATCTCTAGGTTAGGTCCAGCCGTCCAGACTTGAATTTTCAGCCCGCCACGGTGGGCCGCGGGCCGCGGGCCGGGGGGGCACGGTTTTCCTGGCCTGACCCTTTGATCAGGTCTAGCGAAATCCAAAAGCCCGTTCGACCCCAAACACCGACCCGACTCCTCTTCGTCTCCCAATCCGTCGCCGTTCGAGTAGTCGGCGCCGGCGGCCGGAATCGATGAATACAAAGCGGACGCAGGTTGTTGAATTTTCAGCCCTGGGCATCGGCGAGGACGCGTCGTGGCACGCCAAGGGACTCCGCCTACGTTTTCCTCGGCGGCGTCCCCTTTGATCAGGTCGAGGGCGACCTCCTCAAAAGCTTCGTTCGAGTCCCAAACACCGACCCGACACCTCTTCGTCCCTCCCTCCCCCCTCCCGTCGCTCGTTCCGTCCATTAGTCGGTAATGGATACCGGAGCGGAGCGATGTCCCCTGTCTCACGCAGGTGAAGCGGACGCAGGTTATCAACCAGAAAGAGGCGCTCCTGGGCATCGGCGAGGACGCGTCGCGGCACGCGTACGAGGTTCAGAGGAAGCACGATTCTACGTCTACGTCGGCGGCGTCCTTTTCGCGCCTCTTTCCCTCACCGAGGGCGACCTCCTCGCCATCTTCGCTCAGTGAGTCGCAGACCCTCGCCTTCTCCGATTTGAGAAAACGCCTTCCTTTCCTCCTCCCTGAAAAAATCCTCCCTCCCTTCCTCCTTCCGTAAAGGAAAGGTTTTTTGTAATGGATACCGGCAGGGAGATCTGACGAGTCCCCTGTCTCCCCCTTTGGCAATTATCGGACGGTGAGGTCAAAATCGACGTGAACCTCGTGCGCGACAAGGGGTTGAAAATCAAAAAATAAGAGGGTTCGCGTTCCTTGCGTACGAGGACCAGAGAAGCACGATTCTCGCTGTTGGTAGGCATCCTTTTGGCGCCTCTTTCCCTATTTATCTTTGGTCTCTTCTGTATTAATTTTCAGTTAATTATCTGCTCGAGTCCTAATATTTATTATTCTTGTTTGCCTAATTGAAGACAATTTGAATGGAGCTAAAGTTCTTGGGAGGATCATAAGGGTTGACCATGTGAGCAAGTACAAGAAGAAGGAGGAGGAAGATGAGGTGGAGCAGCAGAAGAAGAGGGAGGCCCGTGGAGTCTGCTACGCTTTCCAGAAAGGCGAGTGCAACCGGGGAGCTTCCTGCAGATATTCGCATGATGAGCAGGTCAGTGTGCTGTAAATGCATCGATAAAAACTGTTGTGTGATTATCCATTGGGAATGCCAGTAAGCAAACCAATGCCGGTAATATATTTGAGAAGAAATATATCAGTTGTCAATCAGTTTGGTCGCTGAGGGGTGATGGGTATCCTGTCATCTCACAACCAATGTTTAATGAAGTTTACCAATGTTTCTCGTGATTGGTGGAAGCAACATAAGCTTCAATGCGCTAGGTCTTTGTATTGACATGTCTTAACCTGTACTCCAGTTGAATCACTGAATGGCCTAATCAGGGCGAAACCCACATTTACATTTGTGAGATTCCTTTGCACTGTTGTGGGATTCTGTGGCTTGTCACTTGTGCCAAAATGCCCTGTTTATTTGTTTTTAGACCAGGGCTGGGTATCCATACAGGCCCTGAAAAGTCATTGGCTGTGCTTAATTTCAAAATTCATTTTTCTACTTTCTATGTATAGCGATTCTAATCATTTTTGCACAGCAACATATTTGTTTGTTATTGTTATTGGTTTGGTGACATATTCTGATGTTTGTGGACTATTATTTAGAGAAATGCAAACACCGGTTGGGGTTCTAAAGAGGATAGCGGTGCACGATGGGAGCATGACAAACACAGTGATGTACCAAAGAGCCAAGGCATGTGCTATGCTTTCCAGAAAGGCGAGTGCAACCGTGGAGCATCCTGCAAATTTTCGCATGATGAGCAGGTAGGTCAATGGATGCCCTTGGTTCTAGGATTATTCACTGGGAATGCACAGTTTGCAAACCAATACTTGACTTGCAGTAATTTGTGTTTTTATAAACATTATTTTCAGATGCATCACTAGCTAGAAAATGGGTATCATCTATCATGTCAACTTGATATGCTACAAACTTGTAATTGCAAGCTGCAAGTCTTTAGACAGATGCAAAGCAAGATTTTTTTTTTCCTTATAAATAAAAATAATGCACACTTGTGATAAAGTTTCTGTTAGTCATTCACATGTGCATATGCTTCTTTGAGTGTGGAAATTTTTAATCCTAATGAACATCAGGTGATCGCTTTGGTTCTACTTTTATTTGGTGGAAATATGTATCCTAGTAAAATTGAGCTTGTAGCTTATCAGTAACCTTTTGCTGTGAGTATAGAGTAATCATGTTACCATCCTATTCTTATGGTTGTGAGTTATGCTTTCAGAGAAATGTAAACAGCCGTCAGAGTTCTAGGGATGGTGAACCATCGAGATCAGAGCGGTATGGAGAACGAGAATCTAGGAGTAGGCACGATGATAGAAGAGCAGAAGACCGGGACAGACATAGGCGTGACAAGTCACCTGAGAGATTAAGAGGTGAGAGGCAGAGGAACGATGACAGATCTGACAGAGGAAGGGAAGAAAAATCAGAAAGACGCAAATATGATGTGGAACATGATGATCGCAAGCGGTCAAGGTACGGCAGAGAGTGATGCCATGAAAGAAGTGTTTACAAAGAGGACGAATGGTGCAGGAGGCCGTGGGGATAGATGTTTGTACTCTTACAATACAACCAGTGTTGTTAGATTTTTATATTTTGAATGTAGACGCCTTCGTCTGCTGCTATTCAGATAAGTTTCTTTATATGCCTCCATTTGATTATGTCTGGTTTATTTTTTCCAGATTGGTGCTATTTTTAGTTAACATTGCTGAAACCGTTCGACTAGATTGTATTAGTGCCAATTGCGTGGTTTCTGCCGAGGAAGTTGTTTACTGGTTAATCTTCAAGACTAGTGCCCTGTTCGTTTGGCTTATAAGCCGTACTTTTTAGCCAACAAACAATATTTTTCTCTCACAACAAATCAGTCAACAATATTTTCAGTCATGGCAAGCGCACAGGGCGCACTCCACAACGCCTGTTCTGGCTCCGCGCTGATGCGCAACGAAAATGATATCCAGAAGTTGATGTCCTTGGTTTGTATGCTCAAGGCATGTGAGAAGGCTGACTAAAGTAGGCAGGTTCCACTTCCACCAGTCAATAAACGGGTTTTAGGTGCTGCACTCTACAGATTCACTGTTACCTGCAGCAGCAGCCTCTGCAATCCAAAAGGAGCCGTATTGCCAGTAGGAAATTGGTGCTGCACTTGCACAGTGGTACTGCAAAGCATTATGTGAATGGACGAAATAAAAGTATCAAATAGGATAACACTATCAGGATGTTTTCAGTTCTCACAAAGGCTCTGAAGTTTATGTTGTGTAAGTTTTTATTTGCAAGCATGGTTGGTTCGCTAAAACTGAAAGACTATCGCTTCATGAAAGCTGGTAACAGTGCCGTCTGGCATGATGATTTGAGAAGATTGGACCTGTTCTACTGCACTACTTTAGCAGTATTTTTTAGCGAAATCGATAGTGTTTTCTCTCATAGCATTTTAGCGTAAGCCAAATTTCGGCGAAATGAATATGGCCAAATGGATTGTATGTTTCCTCTTGATCCTGCAAGGTAGTGCAGTGCAGTGGCTTGTCTTTGTTAGGGGCCGTTTGGCACGGCTTCTACTGCCGCTCCGGATCTGTTTTAGCGCTCCGATAGCCAAACGTGTCCCAACGCAACAGCTCCTCACGAGAGAGCCCCAAAAAATCTGCTGACTGGACGTTCGCGCAGAAGCCAACGGGAGCTCCGAAGAGGTCTGCGCGCGATGCGGGCCGGGCGGATTGGACTTGCGTGCCCTTCTTCCTTGCCTTCAGCGAGAGGGCGTTGGGCGAGGCAGAGCCAACCCTCAGGGGTCGGACAGGCGGAGCCCACGGCCTCGGTGTCGGACGAGGCAGAGCCAACCCTCAAGGGTCAGGAGAGGCGGAGCTTGCGTACTGGGGGGTCGGCAAGAGCTGTAGTCGCGCTCTTGTCTGCTCGGATGAATCAACGTTGACGGTTATTAGCTCCTCCTCTTCAGGTACCCTAGTATTGGTCCCCGACACATCTCTTCATTCATGCGGTTTGGTCGCAGCCACGATGCTGTGTCCTGGTTCAGGGAGCTCCCGAGAAGCGGCGATTCTTTGTCAGATGGCTTGCTTGTTGACGTATTGCCTGCATTTGGGTTTGGTAGAGCAAGTTCATGGTCTAGTCAAGAAAATTGGAATGGATTACTTCTCAACAGGTGGAAATGCATTGTTGAATTCATACTGTAATTGTGGTGCTCCATATGTGGCAGAGAAGCTGTTCGATGAGTTGATGTTCAGAGATGTGATGAACATGTGTTTGTGACTTTATTTGTGTTGCACAAATAAACTCATGCTTGCTGTTCACTACCTACAATGGCATTGAAGGAAAGGGACAAAATTCACTTCATTTGCTTGGGAGGACCAAAATGGCCAATTTCCCGCCAATATAACACCCCACTAACGGCACATGAACGGAAATGGCACTGAGGGAATCGCAAATTTCATTTGATGACACTGAAGGGAAATTGAAAATTTCGATGTCATTGAGAGAAGCACTATAATTTTCAGTGGCAATGAAGGAGTTTTTTCTAGATATGTGGGCTGGACCATGGCGCAGCTGTTGTAAGGGACCGTGCATGTGGTACATTTGTTTAAAGAGGAAGGCACAATTCCAGCTTTATCCTTTGGCTCCCACACCAAGTAAAGCAAAGAACCTGCGTGCCTTCGCTGTAGTAAAAGCACTAAAGCCAAAGTAAGAAGAAATGGCATCAGAAGCTCCTTGCAGATTTGCATCAAACTATACCATCGACAGTTAGCAAGTTCCTCATGCTACAAACGTATAGTGTCTTTCGCAATATTTCTGCTGCAGCCCCGGCATTGGATAGTGGATACGACGTAGCTGCTCCCAAGGTACCTACTAACATCCATAGCTTTGAAATTTTCATGTTAATTGTTTGTTCGGATAAATCTGCACATATAGAATTTTCTTTTATCACATCTACATATTTGAAGACATATTAATACTAGTTTAGAAATTTTACCACAAGTATATTCTTACATGTTTTCTTTATGCTCTTCTTATTGGTTTTGTCCATATTTGCATGCAGACAAGAGACGCCAAGTGCAACAGATGGGTGCAGGGACTTCTAAGCCTGAGTTGAAGCCTGAGTTTAAGGTAAATCTCCATATCGGCTCTATATTTTTTTCTTGGAGTTGGGGTTATACCGAAATAGGTGTCATAAAGAGTTTGTACCAGACTGTACAAATAAATAAGCCGGTTTTTCCATTATTCAACATTAAATTTAGTACCAGACTGTAGAAATAATACCTTACATTATTACCTATGATAAATGCAGGACTTTCATGCCAATACTGTTGAAGAGGCTGTGAAAAAACTAGCTTCTTATTTGGAGGACACAAGGGTGCTAAACCAGGCCATCTACTTTTATGGATGGGGAGGACTTGGTGCATCTGCTGTCCTTAACTCGATCGCTGAACACCCTCCACCGTCTGTGAGAAACAAATTTCAGAATATTATACACATTGATTGCTCAAGGTGGAGAAACCGGAGAGCAGTCCAGAGAATGGTGGCACACAAACTAAGGCTTCCTCAACGTGTAATGGCTATCTTTGATACACAGAACGAGGATGATGATTTAGCTGGTGTGGATGAATGCTCTAGGGTTGAGGTAAAAGTGGTTGGGGAAGAGATCTCCCGAGCCCTACAAGGACAGAGCTCCTTAGTGGCATTCCTCTAGCTGCTGCAGACCCTTCGTCAAATATCCTTCGGAAGGTATTGTGGACATTCCAAGGAAGGCTTCGTGCCACCGATGCACGTAACAAAATACAGGGAACTGAGGCAGTGGGCACTTCATATCTGTACCTTGGTTCAATTTTTTCTAAGAAAAGCTCTGATTTATCCCACAGGGTTGAAATACTGCGTGAGGAAGCTGCAGAAATAGCACAATACACGAATAAGCTTATGGTCACTAGGGAAATAGCTGAAGTGTGTTGTAGGTATTTGTTATCATTGAATTCCAATGCTACCACCTCTCTAGACTTCAACTGGGTCACTCATGCCTCAAACTATTGGGTTTGTGATGGGATTCTACAAGAATTCCAGCGAGAGGAAGCATGGGAGGTTGCCACTGCGTTGCATGAAGAGTTGCGGCTGGAGGGCCTCTCATCTTATAGAAAGACCTATTCCTTTGATGATACAGCATCTTGGATTGTGGTCACCGAAGGTATTGTACCAACAGTACAGCCTGAAACAACATCATTCTTTTTGGCAATTAAGGAAAAAGATGACCGTTCAGTAGTGTCATTACCCAAGGACATGTTCCAAATATCAGAGCAACTTCATGTATTGAAACTCTGCCACTGCACCTTCAGCTTTTCTTCACCTCCGTTCCTTTGTTGTCGAAACATAAGATTCCTTGGAGTTGATAGCTGCAAGGATGAACCACATGATAAACCAGAAGAATACAAAGAACAAGAAGAGGAGGGAAATGTCAGCCCAACAATAGGAGAATTCTTTCAAAGCCTATGGGTGCTAGACGTATGTCGAACAGATTGGGAATTGATTGTATCCCCAAATACAATAGAGATGGTGGCAACAAACATTAGGGAGATCAATATAAAGAGCGGAAGAATCTGGCACAACAATCTTTCATGGACATGTCTAGGTAACATTCACAAGCTTCGAGTGGTTGACCCTACACGTCCTTGGGAGACAGGCAATGAGGATGAATTTAAGGATATGGTGAAGCTGGAGCTTCTTGACCTGTCAGAGAATAGCACAATAAAATTATTGCCAAGCTTGTCAGGTGCAATTGGCCTCAAAACCCTTATTCTAGATGATTGTATTGGATTGCAACATGTTGTGCCTGAAACACTCCCTCCAACTCTTGAAACATTTAGCTTAGATGTTGGATATCAAGAAGCTAAAATCTCCTGTATCTCCTTGGCTGGTTGTGCAAGACTGGTCAATTTCAGATTGCATGGGTCAGTAATGAACCTTGAGGAGTTGGATCTCTCTAACACATCAATAAAAAAACTTGATCTCACTGACGAAGTGGTGCAGGTCCCATGCCTACAGCGCATCATCTTGCTGGGATGTGAGCAGCTTGGTGCTGTCCTATGGCCAAAGCATGGAATGCCCAAACTAATGGTGCTAGGTATTGACACTCGGGGAGGCCCAGAAGCAGTTAATTCAAAAACACTACATGATTCTTTTGTCAATAAAGAACGAGAAGAAGGTTGCCATGCATTTATTGCTGTCTCGGACATGAGGTTCATTCAGTCATTGGTGTTAACAAGTGCCGATAAGTTTTGCTGGAACACTGACCCTAGATATGATCTGAATATTTGCTTGTATTCTACTAGCAAAGATGTCGGACAAAACTATAACAATGTGAAAATGGGCCCTCTACAGAAGTGCAGTGTAAATTATGATAGCAATAGTGTGTGGCAGTTTCATCCACTGGACCGCCATGTAGAGATTGGTGAGGGAATAAGCAACTCTAATGTGGTCACCATAAATGGGACAAGGGCTGTAATCCTTTTGATGAATAGGGTCTACCCATTGCTTGTGCATGACATGACTATTCTATTGGCCCACAGGATCACCGGCTCAGGTGAGTGAACCACTCACCAGTCTTGTCGAGCACCCGCTAGTGTTGCCGAGCACCCACTAGCCGTGCCGACCACGAATAAGCGTTGTCCGTCCCCACACACTATGGCTGGAGCTAGAAGAAGAAGAGAGAACAGAGCAAGCACACACAATACAAGACACCAGCGTTGATCGAAGCCCTGTATGTGAGATGGCAAATCTGAACTCTCTTTACTGAGTTGTCGTGATAGTCTATTTATACAACTCTATTCATCTAGTCTTAGTACAGCTGCCCTGCTGCAACAGTGACTAGATAACATACAATGCTGACTTTGTGCCGGCCACTGCATGTGCCTACAGTGAGCCGTGCGGCGCCTGCACCTGCAGCGGCTACAATATCACAGCAGGGGGCCTTTTCGGCGCCGCCTTCCCTTACTGTGTTCATATAAGGTAGCAGTAGATTAGCTAACAATCTTTCCCTAATCCTACTGCTAACCCTTGTACCCCCTCCATGCCGATCATCTCCTTCATCTCCGTGAGTCGAAGACGTCCGAGCGGCTTGGTGAGGACGTCCGCGAGTTGCCGACCAGTTTCGACGAACTCGATGACGATCTGCCCTCCATCGACACAGTCCCTGAGGAAGTGGAACTTCACGTCGATGTGTTTACTCCGGTCGTGCAGAACCGGATTCTTCGCGAGGACGATGGCGGGCTGGTTGTCCACCATCAGTGCTGGTAGGTGAGCTTCCACACTGGTCAGCTCGCCCAGAAGCCAGCGTAGCCACACAACTTGGCACATTGTTGCGGCCGCCGCACGCACTACGCCTCGCCGCACGTAGATAGCGCCACCATCTTCGTTTCATTTGACGACCATGAAATTGGGGCCGACCGAGGAAGACGAGCACACCAGAGGTGCTTCGTCATCCATCGATGTCCCCGCCATGTGCGCATCGGCCGAACACGATGAAGCTGCAGACCTACTCGCCGGTCTTTGGGAAGATGATCCCATGATCCACCGTCCCCTTGACGTAGCGTAGTAGCCGCTTCACCGTAGCCCAGTGATCCTCTCTGGGATCCTCCATGAAGCAACTAACGTAGTCCACGGCGAACGTAATGTCCGGCCTCGTGTGGACTAGGTAGCGCAGACCACCGACGATGCTCCGGTAGAGTGTCGCATCCACCTTCGCCGCGGTGCTGGCCATCGTCAGCTTCAGCCGCTCCTCCATCGGAGTCACACATGGCTTGCACTCAGCCATGCCGCTCCTCTCCAACAGCTTGGAGGCATACGCGCTCTGACCGAGTGTGAGTTCCTCCTTCCCTGTCTCTCCTCGATGCCGAGGTAGTAGGAGAGTGCGTCGAGATCGCTCATTTGAAAATGAGCCGCCATCTCACGCTTGAAGCTGTTGATGTCCTTCATGCGCGCGCCAGTGATGATTAAGTCATCCACATACACGCCGACGACGATGAGTGATGGATAAGTCTCTGTGGTCTTTGTGGTTTTTGCTGCCATCAAGGACATGGTTTGATGACAGCCATCAAGGACAAGATCCTTGACTTGACGATAGAATGAGATCCTTGATCGGGAGAGAGGATGACAGCAGAAGCTGACATCCTTGTCGGCATCTTAGCATCTAGGACTAGCATCTAGGACAGCATCTAGGATAGCATCTAGGCATATGCTTGGCTGGCTAGCAGCCTATAAATATGTATCCTCAACCCCTCAAGTTGGCATGGGATTTGTGTGAGTTTGTGTGAGAAATAAACCAGAAAATTGCTCCAACTCCTAGTGTCATCCTCTCTCGATGAGAGTAAGAATTCTGCTACTACCAAGAGTGAGAATTCAACGACTAACAACTGGTATCGGAGCTGTACTATCCTGTAGCCTGAGCATCTCCTGCTCATCTCCTCTCCTAGCCACTAACAGACCCCAGCCTCTGACTGGCAGCTCACAGCCGCTCTGCTCACTCCTCCCGTGCTGCATTGAGAGTAGTCTAAAGCAGCCCTCTCCCCCACGCAGCAGCCCCCCCAGTAGCACGTCATGTCCATGAGGCGAGTCTCGGCCTTCCGGTCGCCTCGAGCACGCTGGGTCGGCAGAGGTCCGAACTTGCTGCGTAGAGAACACGTGGCGGCGGTAGAGACCGCTGCGGCGGCGGCAAGGGCATCGAGCCTAGCAGCGGCGGAGCTAGCAGCAGCCAGAGTAGAGGTGGAAGCAGTGGCGGTGGCGAATGCAGCATGTGCGGCGGCAGCGAAGGTTGAGGCTCTGAGCAGCAGCATCGGTAGCTCCATTTCTACTGACGACACCGTCGACGCGGACCTCGAGCTGCTAGAGGGAGGCAGCATGAGCGCGGGCGGTGCAGTGGGCAGCCACGCACGCCCATGAGCGTGGCGGCAGCCCAGACAGGCACGGACGCGCTGGCGGCGCTCCTGGAGGAGGCGTGCACGGCAACGGTGGCGGATGGGTCGATGGAGAGCGTGGCCTTCACAGGCAGCGTGGCTCTCTCTCCCCGGATCGGTACCGACGGGTCGATGGAGAGCGCGGCCTTCACAAGTAGCGTGGCTCTCTCTCCCCGGATCGGTACCGTGGTTACCACTGGCTCCAGGCTGTTGTCAGGAACGTCGGTCCCGGTGGTGGGTGGCCTACCCTCACCAAGACCAACTACGTCGAGTGGGTTGTGGTGATGAGGGTAAAGCTCCAGGTGCGGCACATGTGGGAGGCAGTCCGATACGGCGACATCAACTACGACCTAGATCGATGAGCGCTGGATGTCCTCATCGCTGCAGTCCCGCCCGAGATGCAGTTCTCGCTTACCAACAAACGGACTGCCAAGGAGGCTTGGGATGCCATCGCTGCGGCACGCATCAGCAGCGACCGCACCCGCAAGTCCACACTGCAGGCACTTCGCAAGGAGTGGGAGAACCTAGCCTTCAAGCCAGGTGAGGACATTGATGACTTTGCTCTCCGTCTCAACACTCTGTTGCAGAAGATGGTGCAGTTCGGCGATGACACATACGGTGAGGAGAGAGCTATCGAAAAGCTCTTTCGCTGCGTCCCCGAGAAGTACAAGCAGATGGCTCGCTCGATCGAGTCCCTGCTGAATCTCTCCACAATGTCGATTGAGGAGGCGATAGGTCGCCTCAAGATCGTCGATAGCGATGAGCAACAGTCTCTCTCGGGGCCCATCACCACTGGCGGGAAGCTCCTTCTCACTCAGGAGCAGTGGCTTGCCAGCCAAGGTGACCAGAAGAAGGGGAGCCTTCTTCCGCCACAGGCGGTCGCAAGCGTGGCAAGCCACGCAAGGCGCGTAGAGATGCCCAGGCTGAGGCGTGAGGACGTGCCGAGGGTGATGCCCGCGGAGGCGCCTAGGGCGGCGCCGCCTGTAGGCACAAGCCGGCACGAGACGACGCCAACCGCAACTGTGGCTAGCTTGGCCATTGGGCCAAGGACTACCGACAGCCACGATGCGGCCAGGCCCACGTCGCACATGTGGAGGAGGAGGAGCCGGCTCTGTTCATGGCACATGCAAGCATCGAGCTACCTCTAGCGGCACCGGCCGCAGCGGCCCTCCTCCACCTTGATGAGCCAAAAGCACACGCCCTCCTCAGCGATGGCTCCGGCAACGACAAGACTGACGGGTGGTGCCTCGACACCGGTGCCACCCACCACATGACCGGTCGATGGGAGTTCTTCACCGAGCTTGACTCTAGCGTCCGAGGCTCTGTCAAGTTTGGGGATGCCTCCGGCGTGGAGATCAAGGGCGTCGGCTCCGTCATCTTCACCATCGTGTCTGGTGAGCACAGGCTGCTCACCGGAGTCTACTACATCCCCGCGTTGAGGAACTCCATCATCAGCTTGGGACAGCTGAATGAGAACGGTTCGCGCATGGTGGTTGAGGACGGAGTCATGAGGATTTGGGATCATCATCGTCGCCTTCTTGCCAAGGTATCTCGAAGCGTAAATCGACTCTACGCCCTTAACATGCAGGTGGCACAACCCCTCTGTCTCGCTGCTCGTCGGGATGACGAGGCATGGTAGTGGCACGAGCGTTTCGGGCACCTTCACTTTGAGGCCCTGAAGCGGCTCAGTGCCACGAAGATGGTGCGAGGCCTGCCGTGCCTCGACCATGTGTAGCAACTCTGTGACGTCTGCGTGTTGACAAAGCAGAGGCGACTCTCCTTTCCCAGCGGGCGAGCTTTCAAGTCAAGGAGAGGCTCGAGCTTGTGCACGGGGACTTGTGTGGCGGTGACACCGGCCACACCGGGAGGACGACGCTACTTCCTGCTGCTCGTCAACGACCTCTCCCGCTACATGTGGGTGATGGTCCTTGGTAGCAAGGGAGAGGCTACGGACACCATCAGGCGCGCGCAGGCTGCTGCGGAGGCGGAGTGCGGCCGCAAGCTGCACGTGCTGCGCACCGACAACGGTGGCTGAATTCATGTCGTACTGCGCTGACGAGGGCATTCAGCGCCACTACTCCATGCCATACAGCCCGCAGCAGAATGGCGTCGTCGAGCGGCGCAACCAGACGGTTGTGGGGATGGCTTGGGGCCTCCTCAAGCAGAGGGGGATGCCGGCTGTCTTCTGGGGAGAGGCGGTGGTGACGGCCATCTACATCCTCAACCGCTCACCTACCAAGGCGCTCAACGGTAGGACGTCGTACGAGGCTTGGCATGGGCGCAAGCCGGCGGTCTCCCACTTGTGGGTCTTTGGCTGCCTCACGTTCGCCAAGGAGCTTGGCCACATCAGCAAGCTAAACGACAGGAGCACTCCGGGAGTGTTCATCGGCTACACGGAGGGCTCGAAGTTCTACCGCATCCTCAACCCAAAGACACAGCGTGTGCGCATGACTCGCGACGTTGTGTTCGACGAAGGGCGAGGATGGGCATGGGACAAGGT